GGCACGCAAATGTCCATCTGTTAATGTGGAAAGGGATTGGGCCAGAGTTACAGACTAACAAGTTTTCTGCATCCAGATAAAATGTGTCAAAGCCACAGTTCGATCAGAGAGAAATAAGAGAATGAAGACAGAACTGTGTGCAAAGTTGTACAGAATGGGCAAAGGAAGAAATAAAGGTCAGAAAATGAGATCTGAGAGAAGTAGCAAGAGACAGACTAACACAATGTAACAAAATACGAGGGGAATTCATTCATTCAACAAATATGTTATTGAACAAATACTGTATGTCAGGCTGGATGCCAGACGCTGCCAACAACACAACAGCCCTACTCCCAGGGTTCACAGTCTTCTAAGGAGTGCAGATAAACAGCATGAAGCATGGCAGTGAGTTCAGAAAAATGTGAATGGAGAAAAGAACACTAGGACCTTTAGCCAAATGAACAGTTTTGAAAAAGAAGGAGGTGATTTAATGCCCAATGGTAAATAAACCTATAGTGACAGATCAAGTTATATAACTTTAAAATATTTTCAATTTATTTTAATTGGAGGTGAATTGCTTTACAATATTGTGGTGGTTTCTGCTATACATTGACATGAATCAGTCACGGGTGTACATGTGTCCCCCATCCCGAAAGCCCCTCCCACTTCCCTCCCCATCCCATCCCTCTGGGTTGTCCCAGTGCATCGGCTTTGAGAGCCCTGTTTCCGTAAAGGCCACTGAACAAATTAAAAACTCATTTTCCCTCCGTCCCTTCACCTCTCTCACACACACACACTTTAATCTGCTTGAAAGTCCCTAAGAAAGGAGGCTATTAAGCAAGCACACTCTGCAATGAAATATTGAAAAGCAATATTATCCACATCTTCTAGAACACCAGTGAAGACAAGAAAAACAAATAAAAGGATGAAAAAAGACTAAGAAGGACAATGCACTTCAAGCCAAGAAATAGATCTACTATCCAGTCTACGATTCCATGGAAATTTTGCATACATGTTTTATACTGCATGAATCATTAATTCCCAAACTATCTATAGCCTCATTTTATGAAACCTGGCATAAGCATCGGCCAGGGCAAAAAAAAAAGTAGAGCAAGTGAAAGAGGGTTGTTGAATTTTACACTTCGCCACACGACTTGCTCAGAACCTTCTTACATTCAACAACACAAAGAAGACAGAATAACGCCTTGTGCCATAAAAAGCTTTTCCTGGGTTGAGAATAGACTTTTCACTACTACCCTTGGGGAATTACTAATTTGCGTTCATCTTTAATAAGCTCCCAACTTAAGCTGAGGCCATGATAACATCCATCTAACAATACAAAAACGAAGAGCATTTTTCACTGTACTGTTGTTGGTTGACAAACTTGAGCGTGTCCCAGGTGAAATGTAAAGCTGAGTCCCACACACGGAGGGTAAGGAGAGGCCAGGAAAGAGGAGGAGGACCACTCCAGACTGGTCAGTGGCAGGTTTAACAAACAAAGGACCTTAAATAACAAGGCTTTTCTTGAGTGAAGCAAGATGAGTAGATCTCCACACCTGCTTGCCAGATTCTTAAAGGTTTATATAGAGGGTTTAACGAGGTTTAGTCATGAATACTATAGAATTCCATGGACAGAAGAGCCTGGCAGGCTACAGTCCATGGGGTCACAAAGAGTCAGACACAACTGAACGACTAACACTTTGACAGTCATGAATACCACCCAGGTGTCCTTAAGTTACTCTCTCAAAGCCGTGTCCTTGAAAATGGCTTGTGCTGTGCAAATAGCGGGCTGAACATACATCCCAAGGTCAGGGGAGACAGGGCAGGGGCCGCCGATTGCCCAGGTCCAGTTTGTGCGTTAGTCTGGGCCACATCCTCTCCATGACCTCCTCTAATTACTGAAACACCCATTTCCCTCCCCATGTTGAGCTACAGATTACATCACATAACATTCGCCATCTCTGTGTTAGATGGAACACATTAAGGACACCAGTGAATAATGTTGTGGGGTTTTTTCTCTGACCTTACTTCTGGTTCTCTTTCAAATACACTATTGAATAATCATCACCCTCTGTCTCTCCACCAGTAGTAGGATTGTTTGATTTTGTGCCAGGGGAGCAAATGACATGAAAAATATGTTCTGGGCAAGCTTTTGGTATAACGTAGAAACTGATGAGAGGGAGAATAGAAGTGAGCACTGTGATTCCTAAGAAACCTTCTCTACTTATACGTGACCACTGACAAGCATCCACTTCCCATTCTCCAGTACTGTCAACTACCATGACTGAGAAATGGTGTTAACTAGTTAGCACAGTAAATTCATTACTTGTTAAAAGGAGTAAGGAGTGAGTTGAATAATTGTATCATAAAGTTTTAGCAACTCACTCAACCTTGCTTCCATCTTTCCACATTTCCCTCTCTACTTGCACTTTAATGTAATCTATGTTTCTCAATAAACTATGTTTCTGACTCTAGAGTCTGGTCATAAAATACAGACACACAACACATACACACGCTTCTCTAATTCCTGATTTCCCTCTAACCCTAATCCATTTCTCTCTGTCTGATCCTCCAGTTAAATGTCATTTAAACCCTGATTAACTCGTTTTATAAACCTTCATCCAAGAGACATATATTCAAAAGAAAATCACCATGGTCATGTTAGAAAATGCAAACATTCCATTTATTTTAAAGGAAATAAGAGGTCAGGAGCTATTGTTTTAACATAGTACTGACCAGGGGATTTTTGTATACAGAAACTAATGCCTGTGGCTGGTGGTTTGTTGCGTAAGTGAACACGGAAACACTCCAGTCAGTAACCAGGTAACAAAAGATATTAATATGTCTCTGGTCAAGAAACCATTAAAAGGAACTGAAATTAGAGTTGAAACCTTTAAATATGAAAGTCTTTTCTTGTCCCAGGATTAGTCAAGACTCAACACTTGAGCCCAAATCAAAGTATGAAAGTTTAAGTGTGCTGAAAATACAAAGACCTTTGATGCAAAGACAGTGACCCTACGAAACAACTAATCTGGGGATTATTCTCCAATTTAAACTTGAAACACTAAGAACAACACAAAAAAGGGTGCTTCAAACATTTTTCTTCTTCTAAAGTTAACAATTAACTTTAAAAGTTTTTCCTTCTTCTAAACAATTAACTCTAAAAACATGTGAATACAATTCAAGAAACAGATGTCAGATCAAGCCAGAAAATGCTTCCTTTTTGGTCTCACCTGAGAAAGATATAAATCAGGAGCTTTCTATTCTCCAAATGAACAATGAACACATGCTGATTCTAGAGATGGTACTGAAAGTCTTTTCTTTTTTAATACATCATGCTCCTCAGATGTGATTTCATCTTTCTCATTTTATCCAACAAGTAGAGATTATGGCCACCTATGGTACTGTGAATAGATGAGGCGAGCTGATTCAATCCCCATTTGGCCAATTAAAGACTAGGCTCAGCCAAAAAGCTGCTATTGCTGACGAGCTGAACAATGCAAGCCACCCAGTTCCCCAGACTTCTGTTCCTATAACCATCTCTGTCTCTGAGTACCTACAGTTGCCTTGTGCATGAGTAAGTTCCCGAAAGAACAGCCAGCTCCCTACCCTACTGAGTCGAAGGAACTGCAAAGACAGAGGCCCTCTGAAATCAACTATGCAGCCCACTACAGTTTCAACTCTCATTCTGAAAAATTCAATCTCTTCAAGAGTATGAGTGTTGGTCCTAAGATATACCCTAGATATACTTAGTTTGCAATGAGTGAGTTATTGTCATGAGGGAAACGTGAACTATACATCATTATAAGTCATACTGGGGGCTCTAAAGGTGACAGTCAGGTTTTTTCCAGCCTACCAAGAGTATTTCCTCTAAAACTTTACATTCAAAAAAGACTAGGGTCCTCCCAGTTAGAGTAACTTAACTACTGGAGGGAAAGGAAGAAAGGGAACATATCCGTATCTCAATGTCTATAAATTAGGGCATGGACTCTAGTTGGTGACTCCATTTCCCTGGCTATAAACACCTAAAATGTGGACATGCCTCTTTCCTTGCAACTTTACAGCCCTGAAGTGCAACTTTTTCATCCTGAAAATCCAAACCATGCTGTGGCCATGTGTGACCCCCTCATTTTATATAATCTGGGAAAGGTCCACTCTCGATCACTCTCAGGTTCCCCACAATAACCTCCATTCGATTTACGACTCCTCTAAAATTTGTACACATGTAAAGCCACCTAAAAACAAACCAATTCCGCCCAGGAGGCTTTATTGGGACGCGGTGGAGGGTAAGGGAGCTATGGTCCCATATTCTGCTATGGATACCTGTCCCTGCTTTCGCAGAATGCATGATACTCTGAAAGCCAAGCTCCTTGCACAGAGTGCCAGGTACCTTTCCAAGGCTATACTGTGTATAAATTACCTCCAAGTGTCACTGAGGACCATTTTCTCTGAACACACTAAACTGAAGCTGGCAATAAAATAAGACATACGGTCCTGCTGAAGAATCTGACCTGAACATTCCGCCCGTGTATTACAAGGAGACAAAAATCGAGTTTTAATGAAGAAGTGTTTGGGAGCATAAAGGCACCGTGGAGGGAGAGGATCAATACTATTTCAGATCATTTATCCCCAGGTGTTGGGAGAAGGAAGTGTGCAGTCTGAAGTCATTGGCAAATGCATAAACAACATGGGAAATTTTCAGAGAAGGCAAAAGTAGACACAGGATCGCAGGGGACCCTGACACTGGCGAGTTTCACACACACTTCAAACACCTCCTCTTTCCCGACCTGTACCTTGCATGCACCCCCTCTCCTCCGCACCCCCATTCCCGCCGCTGCCACCTCCCCTTCCCAGTCCCGCCCAGGTGACTATCTCACATGCAGCAAAGGCAACAAGCGTCCCCAGCCCAGGAAGGGGTCCCCGTCTCAGCTCGTGAGGGAAGCAGAGTGGAAGCAGGAGCCCGCTCCAACGCTTATTGCATCCTACCGCCTGTGGAGCTCGCCTCCTCCAGCTGAGCCGAGATGCTTTCCACCCTCCTCACGTTCATCTTTGGGGACGCAGGGCGCAGGAGCGGGACACGGGAGTCAACCGGCCCAGCAGCGTCTGGCGATGGGTCTGGCACCGGAGCGCCCTCGCTGCTCGGCCCGGGGGCGTCCGCCGCGCTGGGAGCGAGAGAATCGGCGGCGGCGGCGGGCAAGGCGCGCGGAGCGGATGCAGGTGCGGGCGGAGGCCGGCGGGGGGCGCCGGGGGCGCGGCGCGGCGCGGCGCTGGGCAGCGGGGGCGCGCGGGTAGCGCGGGGACCCGGGGCGACAGGCTGGAAACGCAAGCCGCTAACCCGAGAGCCAGGCGCCCCCTCCCTTCGCCGCCTCTGCCACCTGCTGCCAAGTCACTGGACTGGGGTGGTGCTGACCTGGGGTCTCTGACCACAGAGCATCCAGACCTTAAGGAGACCGGAGGCGATTCCGAGCGTTGCCCGGTGCCTCCAAGAGCCCTTCTCGCCGCGCGCAGCGCCGGCTCTGCGGAGGGGTTCCAGGGCCCCCACGCCTTCGCACAGAACCGTCTGCCGAATCGCCCAGGGGCTCAAACTCCGAAGGCTAAACTTGAGGTTGCTGCCCAAAGTTAGGCTGAGTTCGAAGGACACCAGAAGGGAAGAGCAAGGAGATGCCTTCTCCAAAACCGGGCAGAGCGCCAGAGACTCCTGGAACTCCTAGACGGGAAAGTTCCGGATTGAAGTTGGAACCAGTCATGCGACTTGGCTAGGTGTTGGGAAAGGCGGGCCCTTCACGCCCAGGTGCGCGGGCAGGCAAGGCCGAGATGAGAATGCCACCTTGGAAAGAAAGATTGGAGGGGGCTGAGGAGGGGTTTCAGACGAGCATTCACAGGGAAGGTTTCATCTGAGGGCTCTCTGGCAGCTCTCCAGGGAGGTAGCGCAGCTCCCCCGTGGGCGTTCATCACCCGGTGTCATATGCCCTCTTAAGCAAACCAAGGCAGGGGATGTTCAGGAAGAGAAAAACTAATCAATAAGCCACTTGTAGCCATGGTTACTACTTGAGAAAATCAAAATTAAAATGCTGATTTCTGTGTCCCCAAGAGTCAAGTACATGAAGCATCTTTTGAGAAGGAAGGTCAAGCTGACCAGTTCCCTGAGCTAACCGAAATAAAACTCCTTCCCATTCTCAATGGACTATGATTTGGGTGGAAGTCATTTCTTAGTCTTCTGCAAAGCTACCAGCACTTTCTGTGCTGCAAACCCCACCCCACCCTTAGAGACTTTCACAAGCTGAAATCTAGTCCCTTACTCCAAGAATGTTTCAAATGACACTTTATATTTTTCACACCCCGATCCCACAAGTGACTCACTTGATCTCTTGTGATGCCTCTGATTTTCCTTTCAGTTCATGAGTAAGGGGAGTGATACTGACGTCATCATTACCTGGGTTCAAGGCTACTACTTACTAACTTTGACACCTGGCCTGGTGCAAAATATTTACATCAGCTGTAACAATGAGATGTTTTATTGGTCTGTTGTGAGGATTAAAGGGAGTTGCTAGATATAATAAAGGACTTATGGTAGTGCCTGGCACACAGGAATCGCTAATTCTGCAGCAACTCTTTCCAGAAACCACTCTAGTAACTTTTACTCCATAGATGATCACTAACACCTGTCCAGCTCTAAATTCCATCATTTTCTATCAGCTAACTTCTACAGCTGTGTTGATTTTGGTCTAGGAGCCTGGATCAGAATCACAGTTCCAGCTTTTTACAATGTATGCATTCAAGGGCTAATAACCTTGCTTTCTCATCTCTATAATGTAGAAAATAAAGGTGTCTGTCTCTCTCAATTAACTGTTAGAAAGATTAAATGAAGGGATATCTATGAAATGTTTAGAAAGGTTCCTGGCACAGAGCAAAAGTTCAGTAAGACTTTCACTACTATCACTATCCTGATAGTTATTAGTATCGTTATCATCATCTTATTATGATGAATTTTTTAAAAAGCATCACTGTCATTTCCATGACAAATCTGCCCAACCTTCTCTCACAGTGTAGGAAGTAATATATTAATACAACTCCTCTTTCATCTGCAAAATACACAGATATTTTATTGGGCCAACCCACTTCTCAAGTTTTACCCACTGAGTATCTATTTTGATCCTACTATTTGTTTCTCCCTAGAATCTGTAAGAAGGCAACACAATCAGGTTAAGAAGGCACTGTGCTGAGGCACTCTGCAATAAATTGTTTCCAAAATATTTATTTGGGATCTTGGATACCATGGAATTAATTTCTTCTTTATGCAGAATTCTTTCTCTTTATGTGGACCTTTAGTCATTGCCAAGGATCACAGGGGAAAAAATCATCTTTCTGGTGCTACCCCTACTGTCATTTCTGATATTTGGAACTAAAGGGCTAAGGTGCTCCGCCTTGCTTATACCATCTTAATGGTACTTCAGATGTCCCAACACTTATAGAGAAGAGCTTTATAGGCCACGTATGTGTGTGCCAGCCCACTGCTCCTGCTAAAAAGCTGTAGCAATCCCAGTCCCCCAGCCCCCCACTCCCCACTGCAGTCCCCCAAGACATAAGCACAAAGATCCCACAAATTGTTGGACTAGCTAGCTTATTTGTTGTGTAACATGGATATATATTGTCCCTTCAAGGAACCATATTTAATGGTTCAGACAGTAAAATGGGTGCACAGTAAACTATGTGCCAGCCTTTAACCTCAAATATCATCATCATTTAACCTTAAAAATAAAACACTAAGAGGTAAGTGCTTTTGTCATCCCTATTTAACTAGTGAAGACGTTACAACTCAGGTGAACTGGTTTGCCGGTTTTTCACCAATATTAATCAGTATTTTGGGGATTTGAACCCACCAGTCTGACTCAAGCTTAATTACCACCCTGGACTACTACCTTGGAATAGGGTTTAGAAACTCTAAGCTCTGACATTTCCTAGCTCTGTGTCCTTCAGAAAGCCACTGGTTGTTTCTAAGCTTCTGCTCCTCCTCTGTTAAAAGAGGAATTTCTGCTTTGCAAGGTCATTGTCAGGATCAAGTCAGGTAATGAAAGTGAAAGCTATATATAAACCTTGGAGTGTTGTAGAAACATCCAGGATTACATTTATTATTGTCCTGTTCTTTTATTGCCTATTATTTTTGTTGTCTAGTCTTTTCTGAAAGCCCCTCATGTTTCAGCACCATTCTCTCTTGCTCACCAGGATTTAAACAATAATAGAAAAACTTCATATTTAAGATTTATTGAGTGCTTATTATATGGGCTTCCCAGGTGGTACAGTGGTAAAGACTTCCTGCCAATGCAGAAGACACAGGTTCAATCCCTGGGTTGGGAAGATCCCCTAAAGAAGGAAATGACAGCCCACTCCACTATTCCTACCTGGGAACTTCCATAGACAGAGGAGCCTAGAGCCCAACACGACTATAACTAAGTGTGAACACTTATTATGCATGCTCTGGGTTAAAAATTTTACATCAGCATATCACTTAATACTCAGAAGAACCACTTTATAGAGTTATTTTTACCCTGATTTTAAAATGAGACAGATTCAGAGAGGGTGAGTTGCCCTAGAGCAGTCAGCTGTGAAGGGGTACAGCTGAGTTTAGACCCCCATGTATCTACTGCAAAACTAGCACTTTGTTTCTACTGATGGTTCTAGAACTGCAGCACACATGGGAATCACCCACAGGGTTAGTTTGAAAACACCTGTGCTCCAGCCCCCAAGATGGATTCGCTGAGTCTGGGGCAAAGGTCATGGAATCTAATAGTTTTTAATTAACTTTTATTTCTTTAAAGCAGCTTTCAGTTTACAGAAAAGTTGGGCAAAAAGTACATAGTTTCCATACACCTCCCCTCCCCCTGCCCAGTTTTCCCTGTTATTAACATCTTGCTTTAGTGTAGTACATTTATTACAATTAACCAATAATACTGATACATCATTATTAACTGAAGTCCACAGTTTAAGATAGAACTGATGGCCTTGCAAAAAGAAGCAGAAAGAGAGACAGCTCAGAGGAAAGGCCATGTGAGGTCAAAGCAACTGTCTGCAAGCCAGGAAGAAAGCCTCCCCCAGAAAACAAAACCTCCTCCAACCTTGAGCTTGGACCTCCAGTCTCTAGAGCTGTGAGAAAATAAATTTGTTTTGCTCAAGCTGCACACAAGTCTATGGAATTTTGTTATGGCAGCCTGAGCAGACAAATACACACCCCAAGACCACACTTTGAGAAATCACTACTCTACAGTAGAAGTAACCATGGCACTTGCAGCATCTGGGAACTTATTCGAAACCAGAAACTGGAGCCCCATCCCAGACCTACTGAGTCAGTATCCTCATTTTAACAACATCATCAAGTGGTTCCAGGCATGCTGATGAAAACGAGGCATGGCGCATCAAAACATTATGTTTACTGCCTCCTCGGAGGCACCCAGAGCTCGCTGGGCATGAAAGGCAGCTGGTGCTATAATCATAACCAGTTTACCACATCTCCCCCCAAGTGAGATGACCCTTTTTAATTTTTGTGGCAGTCCCTCCTCAGATGGATATAATTGTTTATTGCCTCATTAGGTTTCAAGCAGCAAATACCTACAACCTTGATAATCTGACTACACCTGCAAATTGCTTTGTGATTCTTGATCTCTCTCATGATGATAATAATCGGTGAAAATAACCTACTTTGAGATCTTCACATTAAAGGGAATATGAGTATGCCCAATGAGACAAAAATGAGGTAAACATTTTAGGGCGGCGGGCTGAATTCTGGCATTCCTATAAGATTTCTATATTCAGTAGATGATGTAGTCTTTACAACTGTGAAGGTAGGTCAGATTCTATTATTCCCATTTTGCAGATGAAGAAGCGAGAGCCCATGGAAAGTGACTTACTTGAATTTTCACAAGGAACACAAGGAACAGGCAGGACACAAACCTCATCATCTGACATCTTTCAACACTTGGTGCTATAAGCCTTGCCAAGTTTATATAAGCTGGAGCACTGCCAAATGAACTGCAATTCTCTAAGCAGCAAAATTCAGATTTGCTTTGCAACTCTGTGTTCAGGATAAATCCATATTATAAATGTAAGGTTATTATATTGCTTAGCTGCATTTCTCCTGACTTGTGAACTTCAGGAAATTCACTGACTGAGGACATTCTCTATGTGGCAGGAAAGGTGATTAGGGGATTTGCTTCGGAATAGAA